CTGCTTCCTAGGACTGGTAACCAGTTCCTGGAAGTGTGAACTCCTTGCCCACAACCCTGCAAATATTAAGAAGTGGATTGAAACCGTGTAGCACGACTTGCTTCCTGAAGTTCCCTTTTCTTCTGGGTGGTTTCTGTCTCAGAGGGCCTGGGGGAGTCCAGATGCAGCCGGGGTGTCTCTTGTGGGTGTGTGGGGTGTGGTGAGCGGTGCCCTTGGACCCAGGGGACAGAGTGCGCACCCCAGCTGTCACGGCTTTCCACCTTCTGCAGGGATTATGCCTGGTTTGCCCACCATAGCCCGGGTACCGGGTCCCTCGCTTGAGCCCTCTGGGTGTCCCTACCCTGGTGGGCACCTCTCCTGACCCTGGAGAGTGTGTGGTTGGGTGCAGCCTGCATCCCAGCCCCTGCCTCGTCCTGCCTACCTGCCGGGGTGACCTCCCCTCCAGACCTCTGTCTTCCACCTCTTCCCTCCTCCTCTCCGTGGCTCCATCCGTGGCCTTGATATCTGACCAAAGGCCAGTGTAACGTGCACGGTCAGCGGGCAGTTGTTATTCCGGCCACAGCTGTCCCCCGGGGGACAGAGTTCATGATGGTCACTGGGGCCCGAAAATGGCTCTCTAGGTGAGAGAGAGCGTGCAGCCTGTCCACTGCTGTGTGTGGGCTGAGACTGGTCATCCCATCTTTGGGGGACACTGACCCTCATACCCTGTGGGCGCCCCCTGGGCTGTCCCGTACCTTAAGCATTAGGTCTGGGATTGGGGATCCCGAGAGACACTGTAGCCTCCAACCCAGAAGTGCCATGGGTGGAGGACTTGTTCTCAGAGAGACAGCAGTGAGCAGTCCTGAAGTGGGATCTTAGTGCCCTGCCCAGGAATTGAACCCGGGTATCCTGGATGAAAACCAGGAATCCTAGCTGCTAGACCACCAGGGGCCAGAGGCTAGAAGGTAAGTTGTCCTGGCTCTTGCCCTGTTTGAAAGCAAGAATGTTTCAAGGAGGCAAAAACTAAAAAGCAGGTATAAAGTCTCTTATTAGAAGCACAGCACAACATGTGGGCTAGAGAAGTAGCTTATTGAAGACAGGAGGAGGCAGAAATACTCACCTGGAGAGAGAGGGTGTGGGCGTTCTCCCTGATGAGAAGTGAAGGGGTGCTCGGCTCGTCTGTACAGCGCGGCTCTCCCGGATCTCTGATCGCTTAGCTTGTCTGTACAGCACGGCTCTCCCGGATCTCTGTCTTCCTCTGGCCCATTACCTCGCCTCTTTACCCACATCTGACCTGCCCTAGGGCCCTCCTGACAAGTGTGTATCTTTTTGACAAGAAAGATTCCAACGCGGGCTTCCCTGGTGGCGCAGTGGTTGAGAGTCCGCCTGCCGATGCAGGGGACGTGGGTTCATGCCCTGGTCAGGGAAGATCCCACATGCCGTGGAGTGGCTGGGCCCATGAGCCATGGCCACTGAGCCTGCGTGTCCGGAGCCTGTGCTCCTCAACGGGAGAGGCCACAACAGTGAGAGGCCCACGTACCACAAAAAAAAAAAAATAAATAAAAAAAATAAAAAAAAGATTCCAACGCAAAGGCTAACGGGAAGTTTGACAACACATTATGGGCTGGCACGCCCTGCCTTTTTGACCCCCGAGGAGGCTTCCTGCGCATGTGCAGTCGGGGAGCTTTCCCTGACCTCAGGAGCGATAGACGTGGTCGTCTTATCTCTTTACTCCAGCAGGGCTCAGCTCCTGCCACTGACTTTGTCCTTGGAGTGTCAGGGAAAACAGAGCTCCAGTTTCCTCTGCTTGGCAAGCTCCAGCTGCTCAGCCCAGGGGCCCATCTGTCTCCTACTTCACCACCTTTCTTCCCGACTTGGGGAAGATGCGCGTTGTCCGTGTGTGACGATGCCCAGCTTTCAGGGGCCTGCGTGGGCTGAGCCCTTGTTGCCCTCGCTCTGGATTCCATGGGTGGTCTCATGATCCGGGGTGCAAGTCAGAGAAAGGGGACACTCAGCTCTGCCCCCGGGGGCTCCCAGCTCAGGAGACGGGAGGAAGGCCCCTGGACCTCGGCTTGAGAGAACCATGCAGGTGGGGGCCGGTCTTGGGGCCTGGTTTCTGGAAACTGTGTGCAAGTCTGTGCAGGTGTGAGTGTGTGAGTGTCAGTGTGAGGGGGCAGAGCAGAGCAGGGCTGTGCCCTTGACCTTGTATGAAGTGCTCTACTGCTCCTCTCATGTTCTATTTGAACCAAACACTTGGGCTCTCTGGACAAGCCTCAGAGTTGCCCAATCCTGGGTTTTCTATGCCCGACCTCCACAGGCTGCATGGTCCGTGTCGGAGTCCGTGGGATGCCTGGTCTCCCAGCGCAGATGGAAGCTCTCAGAAGGGCCTTCGCCACAAGTGGACTCTCCTGTCAACAGAGTCTGGGCACTCGTATGCTGGGAAGGAGGCCACCGGGCCCTGAAGAATGGTCTTAACTGCTCACAGGCCCTCAGAGGCCAAGAAGGTCACTCACTGCCCCTAGTTTCCTCCTTATTGTACCTTTCCTAATAATTGAAACCTTTTCTTCCTGTTATTGGCCACTCGGTTTTTCCTTACAGTGCAGGACCCACTGCTCACATTTCTTTCTTTCCATTGGTTGCCGAGTGCTCTTTGTATATGAAGGAGTCCTGCCCTGTGTCACATGTGCTCATGTGCTCTGCACTGTTTCCATGGGACTTCAGAGCCCCTTGTGGGTGGGCTTCTCCAGCTCTTTACCCTCAGGAGGAGGCTCAGCCCATGCCCACCACTGTGCTTGGCCAGCCGGCCCTCTCCCTGGTGCCTGTGGCTCCTGCCTGCGCGGCTCCCAGCTTTCTTCTCGAGGACGGTGGCGGCCAGCCCCAGACGGCTATCGCTTGTTCATCGGGACGTCCAGGCAGGCTGGCGGGATGGGGCCTGAGGACTGGCCTGTCTGCGTGAGCTCAGTGGGTGGACGGCTGGGTGGTGACTGGGGCCCCAGGAGGCTGATGCCGGCCTCCACCCTGGTGCTTGTGCAGCTGTGTTCCTGCGGCCTCCTGCACTGACCACTGAATGAGCCCCTCAGGGTTTGCCCACGGGGATGGGGATTGTTGCCTTTACCTTCGTGTGGGGAGGGGTGGTGAGTCTGGGCTGGAGGCCAGTGGCGCAGGCGTGGTGGAGCCTGAACCAGGGTCTCAGTGGGCATTGAAGGACTCTTGAGGCAGAGCCTGGCTGGACACTTGGGTCCTCGGGGCCCAGAGCGGCCCTCTGCCCCCTTCCCTCTGGCCCCTTGTCCACGTCCTCGGCGGGGGGCACCTCCTGCTCCCAAGTTACCACAGGCACCTCCCCAAGGTATGCTCAGGTGGCAAGGGATTCTTTTTTTTTTTTGCGGTATGTGGGCCTCTCTCTGCCGCAGCCTCTCCCGCTGCGGAGCACAGGCTCCGGACGCGCAGGCCCAGCGGCCGTGGCTCACGGGCCCAGGCGCTCCGCGGCGTGTGGGATCCTCCCGGACCGGGGCCCGAACCCGTGTCCCCCTCATCGGCAGGCGGACTCTCAACCACTGCGCCACCAGGGAAGCCCCTGGCATGGGATTCTTTAATGAACTTTACTAGGAAAAGTTAGGAGAGAGGTCGGACGAGGGCACGGGGCATGTGGGTGGGTGCTGCAGGGCTGAGTTGGCCACACTGCGGACCCCTTGGGAAGCGCCTTCTGCTGTGGGAGCCTGCCTCACAGCCTAGGGCCCTGCCTGCAGCCCTGGAAACTCCCCTGGACCTTCCCCAGAAGGTCTTCTCTGCATCCTCCTTCTGCACGAACGGGGCCTGGGGGTGGACAGCAGGGAGGGTGGGCAGGGGACAGGAGCAGGGCATGGGGGGCAGCGCATTTGGCCCTGGGGGCACTGAGGGCGGGACTGAGCCTGGGGAGTGAGCCCTTGGCTCGGCTGGGCTGGACTCAGATGCTGGATCGGGCTGGTTGGGACTCTGAGTTCTAGATCTGGCTCTGGGCTCCAGCGTGGGTTGGGCCATGGGCTCAAGGCCATCGCTGTGTTTCAGGGGTTGTTCAGTCAGAACCGGTGTGGGCCTGAGCCCAGGGGCCTGGGAGAAGCCTGGGGTGGTCAGCACCCACGCCCAGCCCAGGTCTCTCTGTGGAGGGAACAGATGCTCTTCTGGGACTTGCCCTAAAGTGGGGTGGTGTGGGGCTGTGATAGGCGGGCCCCCTGTTGCCTTCGACCTTGGGGCTGAGCTGGGGCCTCTCGGCGCCCGTGTGCTGGTCGCTGGGCCCCTGGCTCTGGCCCCTTGGGGGCTGGTCTGCTCCTTCCTCTGGCCCAGGGTCGAGCTGGCAGCCTCGGGGACTCTCACACGAGGGAGAAGGCAGGGCTGTGCGGCGTTCCTGTAGTCGCGGGAAGCCTGCGGCTGCTTCTGCAGGGCAGCAGCCAGGACCCACTTCACCTGGAGGACGGCGTGCGTGAGGGACTCTGTGCCCAGCCGAGGCTCTCCCTCTGTTGGGGCGCCCCGCCCTGGAACAGGGCGTCCCCCCCTGGAACGGGGCGTCCGTGCCCACCTTGCAGAGGGTGACGGCAGCGCCGTAGCTCACGCTAAGCAGGAAGAGCGCCACGAAGGTTAGGAGGCCGGTCTGCGTCCCCTCCAGCTCGTCACTCTCGGCCTCCTCTGTGCACAGGTCCTCCAGGGCCAGCTCTGCGGGTGCCAGCTGGTCAGCCACCTGGCCTCGGGGTCCGATGGGGAAGGACAGGCCTGGCCAGCCTTAGGGAGTCGAGGGGACTGGGCCTGGCGCCCTGGTCCTGGGCAGTCCCTCTGTCTGGCCCCTCTGCGACTGCCCAGAGCCACCAGCCGGACCTGGAGGGTGGAGGGTTGGAAGCCCCCGAGCTGGCCGGCGGCTGTGTGGGGTGGCGCTGCTCCCCTGCCCTCTGCTGTCCCTCCACTCTCGGGTGGCTGGTGTTATCTCTGCCACCGTTTCTCCACCACCGTTTCTCCGGCATTTCTCCTGACGGCTGGTCGCCCCTCTCAGCCCAGCGGGCCCCTCACCTCAGGTCCAGCTCTGCCCCACCCCGCTCCCTGCCCCGTGGCAGGCGGGGGCCCCTGGCCTGGGGAGCACCCACGTCCACCCACTGCATGGCCTGTGGCCGCCCAGTCTGGCCCCCTGGGCCCCGTTCCTGCTAGGCTCCATTCTCGCCAACCAGGGGGGCCCTTGAAGAGCACAGGCTGGCCTCCCTGCCTGGAGCCCTCAGGAGGGTGTCTGGACCCGGGAGGGCCCCTAGGGTCATCGGATCATTGCAGCGGGTGCCCCGAGGGCTGGGCCCGGCTGCATGGATCTTGCCCAGTGTGCGGGAGCCCAGAGCTGCCCCTGGCCCCTGGCTCCTCCTGTCCCGGGACTGGGCCTCTTCCTTCCCCAGCACGGCCTCTGCTCTGGGCTCGTGTTCAGGGTGTGGGCTGTGCATGTGCTGCTTTCTGTGTGGATGTGGTGGGTGCCTGTGTGCTGTCCACGAGTGTGTCTGTCCGTGTGTGTCCATGTGTGTGTCCACGTGTGTCAGTATGTGTGTGTGCATTCATGTGTGTGGGTTCATGTCTGTGTCCCCGTGTGTCTGTGTCCATATGTGTCTGTGTATATCCATGTCTGTGTGTGTCAGAGTGTCTGTCCATGTGTATCAGTATGTGTCCATGTGTGTGTCCGTGTGTGTCCATGTGTGTCCACATGCATGTGTCTCTGTGCGCCTGTGTCCATATGTCTGTGTGTATCCATGTGTGTGTCCATGTGTCTGTGTGTGTCTGTGTGTTCATGTCTGTGTGTCCATGTGTCTGTCCATGTGTATCAGTGTCTGTGTGTCTGTCCATGTGTGTCTGTCCATGTGTATCAGCATGTGTATCTGTGTGTGTTCATTTGTATGTGTTCATGTCTCTGTCCTCATGTGTCTGTGTCCGTGTGTGTGTCCATGTGTGTCAGTGTGTGTCTGCGTGTCCAACTGTCCATCTGTGGGGTGCAGCTGACAGGGAGGGCTTGGCTGCACGAGGAAGCCATGTGGGGCGATGGGTGGGTCCAGGGGCCCAGGTATGACGGTGAAGGGTTTGGGAGTGGCCTGGGAGCTAGGGCGGGCCTCGGGAGGCCACCTGTCAGTGTGTGTGAGATGTTACCAGCGGTTGGCAGTGCCGTGTGACTTGGGTGCGTGCGGAGCCCTGGCACCAGTGTGCATGACAGTGTGAGGGTGCGTGCGAGGGATGGGTGCTTCCCTGGACCGATTCAGGGTGGAATGAGCCTGAGCGGCAAGATGGGGACCCTGGGCGCCGACCCTGGCCTGGTGTGGCCACGCAGGTAGGCTGGGGGTCAGAAGGCAGGGGTCAGAGGAGTGGGCTCCGCACGGGCCCCTGTGCAGGGTTGGCCCATTTGTGCCCAGGAGGTGACAGTGGAGGGACCTGCGTGTTGGTGCCAGTGCGGGGGTCTGACTTGGCCCATTTCTCTACCTGGAGGGCCTGTGTGTGCAGCTGGACTTGGGAGCCTGGGGGCTTGTCTGTGTCCAGAGGGTCTGGCAGGAGGCTGGGGGTGGAGGCTGAGGCCTCCGGGAGCTCCAGGAGAGGCTGGGGTCTCTGTGGTCCCTCCCCTAGGACTACTCTCGGGCTCTTAGAGCTCCTTTGACTGGGTAGAGTCCATAGTGGGGTGGCGGGGAGGCCCTCTGACACAGACGGCGATGCTGGATGGAGACGCGCTTCAGCCCTGGCCCCCACCCCGTGCCTCCCTTTCCTCTGTGCCAAGACACCGCTCCCTGCCCCACAGCTCCCCAAGGATGGGCACACCCAGGGCTCTGAGCAGGCACTGGAGTGTTTATTGACAATGGACGGAAGGTCTGGCTGGCCCCCTCCCCCACCCCAGCAGGATGGAGCCCTGGGATGAGGAGAGGGGGGAGGCCAGGCATCATTTACCAAGGTTGATGGACATCGATCTCTTGAGCGTCCTTGAGCCGGGCAGCGCCTCGTGCGCCACTTGGCAGGTGAATTCGCTCTTCTGCTCCCAGTCGGCCCGCCTGACCACCAGGTGGCTGTAGATGAAGTAGGCGGAGAAGTCGGGGATGGGGCTGCGGACCTTGTGGGGCCTCGTGACGGTGTGCTGGTCCGCCTGCATCAGGGCGCCGTTCTGCAGCCACTGCACGGAGATGTCCGCGGGGAAGAAGTTCTGGATCAGGCAGGTGAGGGTGACCTCGCCCTTGGTCTTGAGCTCCTCCTTGGGTGGCGGGAACACGTAGACCTCGGGAACCATGCGCCTGCCTGCAGACAGGTGTGCGGTCAGCCAGGCTCCACCTGGGGGGCCGCCCACCTCCCCTCAGCCTGCGGCTCACCAGAGCCCTTGGAGATGGAGCGCAGGATCTCCTTGGGTAGGTGTGGGTGGGTCACTTTGCAGTAGTAGGTCTCGCCCTTGAGCCAGTCACTGACGTTCACCGGCAGGGTGGACGTGACAGTGACCGTCCCGTTGAACTCATCCTTGAAGACGAGCGGGTCTGGATACACTATATCCTTGTTCTCCCTGGACCAGGTCAGTGTAATGTCCTTTTTGCTGGCCAGGTCCACCACCAGGCAGGTGATCTTGGGTGACTTGTTGATGTACAGGTCGAGGGGCGTGGGTGGGCTCAGGTAGGCGCTCACGCCACGGGGCTCGGACTCGGCTGTGTGTGGGAAGGGGCTGAGTGAGGCTGAGTCTGCCCTCCTCTCTGAACCCCCAGTGGCTGGGTGTTGGCGTGGGCGAGGGCCATACCTGTGCACCTGCGGGCGTGGTTGTCGTAGGTGGAGCCATAATAGGTGACCCGGCAGGTGTAGGTGAGTTGGGACACCCACTGGCCCTGCGTGATGTTGAGCTCGCTGTAGGTGGAGGCCAGTTTGCCCTCCACCCTTTCGGGGCCGGTGTGTGGGAACACGTCTGTGGCCTCACGCCCATCCACCAACCAGGTGACCTTGATTTTGCCTGGGGTGTAGCCGGAGATGAAGCACAGGAGCTGGATGGTGGTATGGGTGTCGCCACGGGGGTCGCAGGAGGAGTAAAAGAGCTTCACGGTGGGGTCGGTGAAGCTCTTGGTGCACCCTGGGGGCAGAGGCAGCAGGAGTGGGGCTGGCCTCTCTGAGCCCCCAGCCCTTCCTCCCTGTCCCTCCCGCCCAGCCTCCCCTCCCCCTCTGGCTGTCTCGTGGGCTGCCCAGGCCTGGCTCACCAGCGACGGCCTTGGTGGTGGTGGTGCTGGACGCAGCGTGGGCCACGCTGCAGGCGAACTTCTGCTTGGACCACTCGCCCGAGACTGTCACCTGGCTGCTGGTGGTGTAGAGGCTGGAGTTCAAGTTTTGGATGGCAGGGAAGGTCAACGTGCTCTTGTTCAGGGATGCTGTGTCCCAGGTCATGGTCACTGGGCCCGGGAAGTAGCCCGTGACCAGGCAGCCCAGCGTCACAGAGGTGGCATTGGTAGCACTTTTGCAACAGGAACGCAAGGGGTAGACGGATGGGCCGTGGATGGAGGCTGTGGGGACAGGACAGCGGTCAATGCTGGCCTCAGGACTGTCACCTGTATGTGCCAGGCTAACTGCTGGCTTTGGAGGGTGGGCTGTGGGGTGGAGGTGGGGAGGTCCAGTGCAGGGAACACCGGGACTGTGTTCCAGCTTTGGGGGACAGATGGCTCCTCCTGGGTCCTTTCCTCATCTCCTGATTCCACTAGGGACGCCCTCCAGTGAATCCTTGTGCCCCTGCAGAAGCAGTGGCTGTCACTGCCCTTGGCCAGGACTCCTGCCCTCAGCCCCAAGTGGGTGGACACGGGGCTCCTGAGTGGAGGCGCTAACCCACTCCCTGAGGTGGAGGTTCAGAGCCCATAGCCCTCTGTTGGCACCCGGGGACCCAGGGAGAAACCCCCCAGGCCCAGGAGTTACCAGGCTACTCTTCTGCCTCCACTCATAGACTCCCATTGGAGATCAGGGACCCTGAGAACCTCAGTAGCCACCAGTCTGTCCCCTCTGCCCCACCCATAGCCCTGGGAACACAGGCCTGGGACACAGAGACCCCCAGGATCACCAAGCTGCTTTCCCACTCCTGACCCTAACTCAGACCCCCATCGGGGATCAGGGAGGCCTCCAGGAACCGTCAAGCTTGCCCTTCTGCTTCAAACCAAAGACCTCATAAGGGCCTGGGGATCCACAGGACCCCACTTCCCAGGAATCACCTTGTGTCCCCGCCCCACTCCAAAGTCCCTGTGGGCCTGCTGTGGGCGGATCCACCTGCCACCCACTGGACCCCTGCTACCTGCAGCCGTGGGTCAGCCTTCAGGTCCCTGAGCTGCTTTGCCATGGCTGCCCCTTCACCCCATCCTTCGGCTGACCAGCCCAGGCCCGCTGGTGCTCTACCCGCCCTGCTGACCCCCCAGGGGAGCCCGATTCCAGGCCCCATGGAGAGAGGACAAAGGCCCCTCAGAGCCCTCCTCAGTCCCCCTCCTCAGCCCTTCTCAGGCTCCTCTGGCTGCCAGGCCTGTCTGCACGTCCCCTGGCCTTGGAGCTCCAGCCCCCAGCCCACCCCAGCTCTGCATCCCAGCTCGGCTCTTCCACCTTCCTCTATTCTGCCGGCTAGCCCAGCTGAGCACAGCCCAGATGACCATGTGTCAGGACAGCTGAGACCAGCTGAGACAAAGCAGCTCGCGAGTACAGCCCAGCACCGCTAACGAGTCCTGCGCATTTCAAGTCAGCTCAGCCCAGTTCATCCCAGTTCACCCCAGCTCAGCCCAGAGCAGCCTGCCTTGATCCAGCCTGGCCCGCTTCAGCCCCTGACGTCCCATCTCAAGCAAAACAGCTCATCTGAGCTGCGTCCAAGTGGTTCATTTTAGTTCAGTTTCGCTGACTGAGCAAAGCTGGCCAGGATGACCCCACAGCCCACTCCACCCAGTTAATCCAGCTCAGCCCAGCTCAGTCCAGCCCAGCTCAGCCCAATGTAGCCCTACTCAGCTCAGCCCAGCCCAGCCTAACCCAGTTCAGCCCAGCTCAGCCCAGCCCAGCTCAGCTCAGCCCAGCCCAGCTCAGCCCA